AGTATCATTTCGACAAATCCTTTAAAGTGTTCCTGATGTTGCTGCATGAGCGGTGTAAAAAGCTCTTTTTGTTGCAGGAGTAATTCATTGACTTGCGTGAGGGTCATCAATTCTTCGTCCTGCTTTGCATCTTGTTTCTGTTTGGGCGGCATCTTTCGGGCTTTGATGCTAGCCGGCTGTCAGCTAGTTGTTGACGTGTCCAGTGGGCTTGCTGCCAACCCGGATGTTGATGACGTGGCAGTGGGTTTTTTAGCTTCCCTGGGCAATACAGCCGTGGTAGTCGAGTGAATTCTTGGGCCGCTGCTGCCGGGTTCACTGTTCGGTTAGTTGGCTTTAAGTGGTGGCTCCAGATGCTTGTGCTGGACCCATAGGGTCGACCGCCGCTGGAGTTCCGAACAAATCCTCTCGTTCACTCGCGCTGGTTGGCTTTCACTAGCTTACGCTGCCTCGGTGGTCGAGTGAGTTCAGCCGCCGCTGCTGCTGCCGTGTTCGCTGATCAGCCGGTTGGCCTTCCAGGTGTGGACTCAGCTGCTCGTGCCGGACCAATGGGTCGACCGCCGCTGGTTTTTCAGGGGTGGATTCAGCCGCCTGTGCCGGACCAATGGGTCTACCGCTGCTGGAGCTCCAAACGAACACTGGCTCTCGCTCGCTCACGCTGGCTCTCGCTCGCTCACGCTTATTCATTCCCACTTGGTTCAGTCGAAGTAGTCCCGCAGAGCATCTTCAGCTTCCGTGGACCATTTTCTGACCATACGGGTCAGAGCCTGTGCACCAAGGGTTTGTACACAGGCTCGAGAAATACCAAGTTGTGGTCCGCTCTTCCAAGAGGGGGCAGTGGGTAGTGGGTGGGGTGTATATGCCTCCTTGGTCTATATGCCTAATGGGCTGTCAAACTCAGAGCTACTTGAAAAGGTGGAAAAATCTTCGTTGTCGTCATCACTGTCTGTTTCGACCAATGGGTCGACCGCCGCTGGTTTTTCAGGGGTACTTGAAAAGGTGGAAAAATCTCCGTTGTCGTCATCACTGTCTGTTTTCGACCAATGGGTCGACCGCCGCTGGTTTTTCAGGGGTGGATTCAGCCGCCAGTGCCGGACCAATGGGTCTACCGCCGCTGGAGCTCCAAATGTCTATATGCCTTATATGCCTTAATAAGCTGTCAAACTCAGAGCTACTTGAAAAAGTGGAAAAATCTTCGTTGTCGTCATCACTGTCTGTTTCGACCAATGGGTCGACCGCCGCTGGTTTTTCAGGGGTGGATTCAGCCACCATCCCGGACCAATGGGTCTTCCGCTGCTCTCGCTCGCTCACACTTATTCATTCCCACCTGGTTCAGTCGAAGTAGTCCCGCAGAGCATCTTCAGCCTCCATGGACCATTTTCTGACCATACGGGTCACAGCCGGCTGCCTGTGCACCAAGAGTTTGTACACAGGCTTGAGAAATACCAAGTTGTGGGCCGCTCTTCCAAGAGGGGGGATGGGTCTTCCGCTGCTCTCGCTCGCTCACACTTATTCATTCCCACCTGGTTCAGTCGAAGTAGTCCCGCAGAGCATCTTCAGCCTCCATGGACCATTTTCTGACCATACGGGTCACAGCCGGCTGCCTGTGCACCAAGAGTTTGTACACAGGCTTGAGAAATACCAAGTTGTGGTCCGCTCTTCCAAGAGAGGGGAGGGGGTAGGGTGTATATGCCTCCTTGGTCTATATGCCTAATGGGCTGTCAAACTCAGAGCTACTTGAAAAGGTGGAAAAATCTCCATTGTCGTCATCACTGTCTGTTTTCGACCACTCTAAAAGCATAGAAGCACACACCTGTTTCAAGAAAGATGGGAAGGCGAATACTTGTTTGTGCTTCAAGGATAAAGACCGGGATGTCTTTTGTGTTATGAGGCGGTGTTGGTTGTCAAAGAGTTCAATCTGAGTCGACGTTTTGACACCAAACATGGAGCTAAGTTTGCTAAAGCAAGCCTTCAAGAAAAGCAACAAATTGCTCAAGAATTAAAAGGCAAACTGCGGTTGCAGCAGAGTTTGTTCATGAAATCCACAGCCAAAAACGAGGCCGCGGTAAAAGCTAGCTTCATTGTGGCTGAAGAAATCGCCCACGTTTCAAGTCTTTCAAAGAGGGAGCGTTTTTGAAGCAGTGCATGCTGGAGGTCCGTGAGCAGGTGTGTCCTGACCAGTTAGACTTTTAAAAATGTCAACCGAATTATTCATTCCCCCTTTGTGACCGAGTCAAGCCTTCTTCTCTCTGTTCGCCCCCTTGCATTGACGTGATAATTGTGGACTCCAAAAGCCCTCCGCCCAGACGGCCGGCGCCTTTGCGCACATGCATTTGGGGGCGCTGGATACGCACCCAAACGTTTAGACGTGCCCACATTAAATGAAACTTTAAACATGATACAATTTTGCTCACAGATTTCTCTATCAACATATTAGGGGCAAAATCCTCAAGTGATTTTTTTGAGCTCAGGGAAGACATTGCTCTTTTTATGCAGCATAAAGGAAACCTCGTGTCTGAACTATCAGATCCAAAGTGGATGTGTGACTATGCTGTGTTGTGTGACATAACCGAGCATCTCACCCAGCTGAATCGGAAGCTGCAGGGACGCAAACAACTCAACACGCAGATGTCCGACACGATCGCGGCTTTCCAGCGTAAATTGGACTTATTGATGTGGCAAGTGTCGTGACCGAAAGAACGAGATCCCGGATACAAGCAGCCGAAATGAGTTTTCTCCGCAGGGTATCCGGGCTCTCCCTTAGAGATAAGGTGAGAAGCTCGGTTATCCGGGAGGGGCTCAGAGTAGAGCCGCTTCTCCTCCACATCGAGAGGAGCCAGATGAGGTGGCTCGGGCATCTAATTAGGATGCCTCCTGGACGCCTCCCTGGTGAGGTGTTCCGGGCATGTCCCACTGGCAGGAGACCCCGAGGACGACCCAGGACATGCTGGAGAGACTATGTCACCCAGCTGGCATGGGAACGCCTCGGGATCCGCCAGGAAGAGCTCGAAGAAGTGGCTGGGGAGAGGGAAGTCTGGGCTTCCCTCCTAAAGCTGCTGCCCCCGCGACCCGACCCCGGATAAGCGGTGGAAAATGGATGGATGGATGGATGGATGATGTGGCAAGTGAAACAGGTCAATCTTGTCCACTTTCCTGTTTGTCAGAGCATATCAGCCTCATTTTCCGAGACTTTTTCACGTGCTCAGTTGGCTACCAAACTGAGCTCATTAAAGACTGAGTTTGATCGGCGCTTCTCTGACTTCAGAGCACAACAGTCTGGCTTTGACATCTTTGCCAATCCTTTCACCACCAATGTCTGCACTGTCCCCAACACCTTCAGATGGAGCTAATTGAGCTTCCAAGCGACAGTGGCCTGAGAGCAAAGTTCCAAGATGCTTCAATCCAGGAATTTTACCGTCCTCTGCCCCCTGGTTTGATGCCACAACTTTGACTTCATGCTGCCCGTGTTCTGTCCATGTTTGGGAGCACCTATCTAAAACCAGACATTGACACACCGGCAACGGGAAAACGGTGTCAGACATCTGGTCAGAAAAAACACGGGTAAGCATTTTTTTAAAAACTTAATTAAAATTTAATCAAATGTAATTCAACCAAGAAAAAGAATAGTTAAACTGTGTGCAATATAATGATTGTGCTTGCATTTTGTTTTGTTTATCATTTTCAGAACATGAACACTGCCCAACCCCAGGCCAACTTTGTACGCCATTGCCCGCATCAGTAGCCCCGTCGCCGCATTCAATTTAATTTTTACCGACGAAATTATTGACCACATAGTTGCAATGACTAATTGACAAGGGCAGAGAAGGATTATGCGCTGGACCACGATCACCGCACAGCAACTCCGTGCATACTTGGGGCTTCTCATTTTAGCTGGAATATACAAATCAAAAGACGAGTCCACAAAGAGCCTGTTGGACAAGGAATGGGTCGTCCGATGTTCGCTGCAACGATGTCTGTCTTTAAGTTTAGCCTGATCAACAGAGCCCTGCGCTTTCACAAGTTGCACCGACCACAACGTCATCATCTGAGCAAGCTCGCACCGATCCAGGATGTGTGGATCAAGTGGAACAGCCGCCTGCAGATGATGTTTTACCCCGGCAGGGAAATCTGCATGGATGAGCAGCTGGTCTCGTTTTGTGGCCGCTGCTCGTTCAGACAATACCTCTCGAGCAAGTCTGCCAAGTACGCGCTGAAAGTGTGGGCAGCGTGTGATGTCACCACCTCCTACGCGCTGAATTTGGAGGTATACACCGGGAAGGCTCCAGGAGCTCGGCGCGAACCAAACGTTGGCATGGGAGTGGTGCTGCGACTATGCAATAATCACACGGTGACGACGGATAATTTTTTTACATCGTTCCCCCTGGCTGCAGAGCTGAAAAAAAAAGGATCACATTGGTGGGCACTCTTCGAAAAAATAAAAGCGAGTGAGGTCATTCACCAGGCAGCCACTTACAAGGTGGGTTTTATGTGGTATTATCATCGAGACTCTGTGCTGCATTTTTATTTTTAAAAAGTGCTATATGAATAAACTTGGATTTTGTTTTCATTCAGCCTATTTGCCTTCACAAGGGAGTGTACTTTAGTGTCTTACATCCCCAAAACAGGCAAAATTGTGCTATTGATAAGCACAATTGATCCGGAGTTGGTGGAGGGATTGAAACCAAAACCAAGGATGATCCGTGATTACAACAAATGCAAGGGAGCAGTGGATCACCTGGACCGCGGAAGCACAAGTTTTGTCTTCAGCATAGCGTTCTAAAAAGCCGTCTTGTCATCTGATGTTTTGTTTTGCAGATCAGAGATGAAAGTCCTCCGGATTTTCCCGGAATTCCGGGTTTTTTAAATTGTCCTCAATTTTCTTCCGGGAAATTAAAGTGCCGAAAAATTATTCCGGGAATTCGTTGACAACATTGAATGAACACGCGTTTGAGTTCGTTGTTTTGCTTGTAGCGACACCATTCGAGCTAAGCGCGCCACAGCACTCGGTTGGCACCATTCGAGCGAAGCGCGCCACTGCACTCGGTTGCTCTCTGCTGTACGTGCGTCAGCGCGAGCATTTACGCATGCAAGCGTCGTTTTGGTTTCAACCAATCAGCGCCGATGCAACCAACGTCAGATATCGAAGAAGCTCCGACAACAGCAAACGCAAGCAACGACAACCACCATTCCCCTACATTGGACTTTCGAAATTTCGGCGACGGCGGAAGCCTCAAAGTCCAGATAAATAATTGAATATTGAGTATTTGAGCGCTATATGTAAAGTTATTCGTGCATAATGTTCAAGCAGGTAGACAGACAAGCAGACTTACACGCGATAGACGCGAGTGTGAGGAACACGTTCAAGTGGTCATGGCTCGAAGAAAAGGACGTGAACGGAGATTTTTTGTCTGACTACATTCGGAAGGTCGACAAACCTGGTAAGTCACTTTGATTCTCTCCTCTTTCACCTCAAAAGGCTTTAAACAACAAAGCGTACGAGGGAGAAGACTGTCCGTGTTTTGTAATGTGCTGTGTTCATTATTTTACTCTGTTAATGTCGGTTTCGGCAGCAGGTGGCGGGCTGAGCATTCTTGCTGGCTGCACACCTGCTGCCAATCTGTCTTGATTATGCACCTGGTTTATTAGGACCGTCTTTCTGGCTCTTTCTTGCCGGAGAGTTGGATGCCATGCCACTGCTTTTGCCCATGTGTCATTTATATGTATGTGTGTGTGTGTGTGTGTGTGTGTGTGTGTGTGTGTGTGTATATATATATTAAAGGCAACTCATTATACTATTCATATTTCTAGATCTATCAAGTTACAATGAATGATATGGTGCAGATGTATCTCTATCTTACTGTAGTCTTAAAACTTATTGTATTTAATTTTATGTGTCTGTGTGATTTCATTACGAAATAAAACATGCATTAATTTTTCATTCATTCTTATCATATCCTTTCAGGGCTTGCTATCTGCATTTGGTGCAATGATACCCTTAGGTACGGATCATCAGGGAAGAAGGATTTAAAAACCCACTCAAAGAAGGCGAAGCACAATGCTGTGAGGAAATCCTTGCAAACAAACCAGTCCCTTCCTGCAATGTTCAGTGCAACCAAAGCCCTGAATGAAGGAACAACTTCCAAGGCTTCATCCAGTCTGCCATACGGAGCTGCACCGAATATACTTGACAGTAGCAGCTGCTCTGAGCTGGTTCAGCCACCGCGTCCAGACATCAGTATTCAGGACAGAAAAGCTCACTTAGAAGCAATGACACTAGCATTCATCTCCGAACACTCACTGCCACTGACTTTAATACCTCGCCTCATCAATTTTGCACAGGAGTTTGGAAGAGATCCCAAAGCAAGCCAAGGAATGAAAATGGAGAGGACCACAGCTTCATATAAGCTCAAAGACGGTCTTGCAGAAGTTTTGCATAAACGACTCGTCAAAGATTTGCAGACCCACAAGTTTTCAATGAACATGGATGAATGCACTAGCGCAAACAACAAAAAAGTATTGAGTGTTTTGGTGAGTTACTACAGAGATGCACAGAATGAGTGTGTTGTGCAACACTACCTTTCGACAACATTAACTGTAGTTAGTGCAGCCATTATCCACTCAACAATATTGGAAAATTTTGAGAAAGATTCCATACCACTGGAGAACTTAATTTCTAATCTGTCGGATTCTGCCAATTACATGAGGGGCAAGAAGGGAGGTGTTGAAACTCTTCTGCGATCTAGTGCGCCACACCTGCTGGATATCGATGGAGACACCTGTCACCACATTCAGAATGCTGTAAGGAAATTCTGCAGTGGTTTTGAATCTCAAGTGGAAAAACTTTGTGATGATCTTTTCACTGACACAAAGTACAGCACTGATATCAAAGAGTATCTCCAAGAGCTTTGCATGATATTAGGAGTACAGTACCTGACGCCGCCACAGAGAATATCACACCGCTGGCTGTCTGCCTATGATGTAACAGAGAGGAATCTATCCATCATTGAGCCACTAACGTTGCTGTATGCTTCCTGGATTCCTAAAGATCTTCAGTCAGCTTATGCCATCTACACTGACCAGCTTCTGGAAAAGCGGTCCAAACAGTCTGTAAAAAGAATCAAGGCCATACAAATGCAATGTGCGAAGAAAGGTCTCACTGACGATGGGAGAAAAAGAAAACTCAGAATTGTGGACAAACTGTTCTACCAAAGAGACAAACCAATTTTGACCATGAACATGTACGTATCTGTCCTACCCATATTCAAGTCTTTTGTCCTGATGTTTGAACAGAAGGAACCAATGGTGCACAAGCTTCACGACGAGCAGACAGATTTGTTTCGTCATTTCCTTGCCTGTTTCATTCCACAAGAGAAGGTGCGGGACATTTCTGCTTCTCAGTTGCAAAAAATAGACGTCAGCGATGCATCCATGCATCTGCCCACAAAGGACATTTTCATCGGAGATACTGCAGAAAAGATTCTGAAAAGATTGTCAAGACACAACAGCTTGTGTCAAGATTTTAGAAAGAGCGTCAGAGAAGCATTTGTTGCTGCAGCGCAGTATCTCCAGGGAAAGCTTCCTCTCACTAATCCACTTTTGAAGTGTTTGTCAGCAATTGATCCTGAAGCACAAGGGCACGCTGTGACACACAGTCATCTCAAGAAGCTTGTGAAGTATTTCCCCACTGTTATGAGCTCCAGCAGTGACACAGATCTGTATCTCAGGGAAATTCTAAGAATACAAGTTGACTCTACCCTTCCAGATTGTGCCACAGAAGTCGATGGAGAGTCAAAGGTCAACTGTCTGGACCACTGGTGGGCTGAGGTAATGCCACGCTATCCAACCCTGGGTAAACTAGTGAAGGCCTGTCTCAGCATCTTTTCTGGGCCACGAATAGAACAGTCATTCAGTGTCATGAATGATATTATCGACCCCAAGTCAAATAGGCTAGCTATCAGGACATATTCAGCCATACAAACCGTCAAATATGACCTGAAGGCAAGAAACACAACAGCCTTAAAGGATTTCCACCGAGATGATATACATCATGATCCAGTGGACAAGAGAATGGTGTATCGTTTGCAGACAGCTTATGGCAGATACAAAAGGAGACTGCATGCTGAAAATGAAAGAAAGAAAAGGAGAGCTGAAGAATTGAAAGTGACTGACACAACACAGCGGAATCCTTCCTCAAAGGTGACTATTCATCAATTAGCTAAGAAGACGAAGAAGACTATAATGAGGCATTCACAGGAGAGCAAAAGGAAACGAGCAGAGTCTGACTGCAGTGGATCTTCAAAGAAAAATGCAAAAAAATCAAAACATGTTTAAATCACAGAACTGATAGAAGTGATTCTAAAAAAAAAAAAACTTTGTCCGACCTACCATCTCTGATTTCCCTGAATTTGTATTAAATGCACGAATATGGGACATCCAGTACTACGTTTCCATATTCAGAGATGAAAGTTCTCCGGATTTTCCCGGAATTCCGGGTTTTTTAAATTGTCCTCAATTTTCTTCCGGGAAATTAAAGTGCCGAAAAATTATTCCGGGAATTCGTTGACAACATTGAATGAACACGCGTTTGAGTTCGTTGTTTTGCTTGTAGCGACACCATTCGAGCGAAGCGCGCCACAGCACTCGGTTGGTCTCTGCTGTACGTGCGTCAGCGCGAACATTACGCATGCAAGCGTCGTTTTGGTTTCAACCAATCAGCGCCGATGCAACCAACGTCAGATATCGAAGAAGCTCCGACTACAGCAAACGCAAGCAACGACAACCACCATTCCCCTACATTGGACTTTCGAAATTTCGGCGACAGCGGAAGCCTCAAAGTCCAGATAAATAATTGAATATTGAGTATTTGAGCGCTATATGTAAAGTTATTCGTGCATAATGTTCAAGCAGGTAGACAGACAAGCAGACTTACACGCGATAGACGCGAGTGTGAGGAACACGTTCAAGTGGTCATGGCTCGAAGAAAAGGACGTGAACGGATTTTTTGTCTGACTACATTCGGAAGGTCGACAAACCCGGTAAGTCACTTTGATTCTCTCCTCTTTCACCTCAAAAGGCTTTAAACAACAAAGCGTACGAGGGAGAAGACTGTCCGTGTTTTGCAATGTGCTGTGTTAAAATAAAATAAATTAATTAATTAAGGCGTTTTTCGACGAATTAATTATACATATATATTTATTTTTTTTTCAGGGATTTTCGGCAAAGTCCACTTTTATCTCTGGCAGATGTGCGTTGCCTACACAACCCGGAGGCGAACACAAAGGTGGCCCATGTGCCTTTTTTACCATATGGTTGATGTTTCTTGTTTTAATGCTTTTATTTTGTTCACATCCATCGACCCAAAATGGAATGAAAAAAAAAAACTGTACAAACGGAGACTTTTTCTGACTGAGCTGGGACTGGCCCTGACTGCGCCGGAATGTCTCAGGAGGGCAAGGGGGGCTCCAGGTGGAGTTGAAGAGCAGGCTGGGGCAGCAGTAGCTGTTCGCACTGCCAAGAGGAAGCAATGCCCAACTGTTGTGCTCGATGTGGCAAAGCTATCTGCCACAAACATACAAGGCACATTTGTATTGATTAGTAAAAAAAAGCGTTAATGTGTTTGTTCTTTGTTCTTGTTTTTACAGTTGTTGCTGGTTGTTTTTGTGATAAATTATGTTCCTTAAAAATTTTCATTGTTTTTGTTTTGATTGTTTAAAAAAAGAGTGGTGTTGTGCTTGTTTTTTGTTCTTGTTTTCAAGTTTGCACATCAGTTGCTGATTGTTTTGTTTGTTATAAATTATGTTCCTTCAAAAGTTTTCATAGTTTTTGTGACTTTTTTTTTTACCTTTTTAAGGTTTGAATTACTGTGTACAACATTTTTTTCACTCTATATACACGCAATACACAATATCGGACAAATAGAGTGAGAGTTACTTATATAGAGTCATAACACAACACTCGTGTTTTGTTATTCATACAGAATAAAAAAGCAATCAAAACTATATATGTATGGCCACTGAACATTTTGAAAGTGAAAAAAAAAATCAAAAATGAAAAAAGTTAAACATTTGGAAAAAGAGGACAAATTGTCAAAGGGTGTCATATATGGACTAAAATGGCCATTGCAGAAAAAAAGGCGGGAATGAAAATAAATTATGATACTGTGGCTTGTTGACATATCCAAGGCTCTAGTTATGTCATATCTTCTTCTCGAGTCAGTATGTATCATCAAATGATTCCAGTCCATTGTTGGATGCATTGTCTGGCATTCGGGGTGAGATCAGCGACGTCCTCTTGGGTGCAAGATGTCGGGAGGAGTGGGCAGACAAGGAGATGTTGCTTGGTCTGATCCTCTCCACACAGAAAAGAGATGTCGCCATTCTCATTAACTAGATCGATAACAATTGCAAAAGATTAAAAATGAGAAAGAGCCTTTGTCAAAACTAAGTGGTCACTTAATAACCTCAGTCCTACACGGTTACTCAGTTGAGATCAGATAAGTGAAGATAGACCGGATTGGCTTCATAAACCTAAATGCTGCAGTTTCAAATCGGGTGATTTTTGTACTTAATAAAAAATAGAAACACAACTGAACTGTACATGTACCATCAGAGTGAGTCCCAGTACCACACTCTGGTAATTGTTTTAAATGACTTTGGTTGTCATTGTATCACTGAAGCTCAGTTTTATGAACTGTAGAGCTTTTTTTGTATACATGCAGGAGAAAAAAAACAGTGTCAACTCTGAATGCAGAAACATCCACATTCCCATTCTTCATGTCAATCGCCGCTAATTTATTGCTGGTCCTCCTGCACGGAATTCTCCATCGAAACCCTGTATGTGTTGATGTTGAGACGGCTGGAGGTCTTCTTGAAGCTGTGGTACAAAGCTACAAGTGGGATGGCGCTCACGGGCAAGGCGCAAAGTAGCACGCTGATGGCAACCACCCATTCGGGGTAGGGCTTGACCTGAGATTGGGGGAACAGTTCATAAGCCGGGTTCCATGTGCCAAAGGTGGGAGGATACTGTGCCTCGAGTGCCACGTAGGCGATCAATACTGAGATCAGCATCAAAGGACTGACAATAGTCCAACAAATTCTCCAGTAAAGAATGGGCTTCTTGCCGGTCATTAAAAAGATGTCATCACTGATGTTCCGCCCTCACCGCGTCCACGTTGCGGCTAGACAGACAGATAACTCCTTCAATGACTACACTGTTGATATTTCTTGCGGTTTATTCACAGGCGAGTCAAGAAGGTGTAAAACTGAAACAGACACACCACATAAAACACTTAGACGTTGTTGGAAAATGAAACGTGGCAAAACAATGTGCCCCACTGGTCCGACACGTAACGAACGCGCGGCTACGCTAGTTTAGCTAGCGCTAATAAGCTAATGTGCTAATCGCTGTCGTAAATGCTAACTAAACAATTGGAACGCCCCACAAATGTAAATATACGGCGAACACACCCCACTAATTGGTAATATGACAGAAATTTACATAAAACATTTACATAGAGGCTGTGCTTGGCCTACGACACGAAGTCGCTGTCCATCGTTCAGAGGTTCCCCGCGCAACGTGAAACAGGAAGTGTCTCACGCGACAAAGTCCGGTGTGCCCTTCACAATAACGAATTCACTTTCCAAAATAAAGCAGCTGTGTAACTATAGAAACAGAAAAACATGTCACATGGCTCATCAGGAGCCAGAACAACTGAAATTTTTCATTCTGTGGACATACGCCACTCCGACGACTTCGAAAAATGCAATAATGAGGAGGGGGATGGAGCTCACGTAAGTGTTTAACACCTCAACCCAGTAGTTCCCAGATCCCATTGTGAAACTGAGAGAAATCAAAAAGGCAGCCAAGCAGACCAGCCCTGTCCACACTTAAACAGGGAGTCACTTGGGCACAATGTTGAGCTCACGAATGGGGTTGAGGACTCCCTCGAGGGTGCCAAACATGGAGGACAGGCCCAAGCTCAAGAGCATCAGGAAAAACAAGACCGCCCACACCTGCGGGTATGGCATCTCCAGCACTGCTTGGGTGAACATGATAAAAGCCAGGCCAGTTCCAGAAGCACTCTGGTCAAGGAAAGTGCTTCGGTTACACTCTCTCAGTGACAGCATGGAGTGGACTGCTGGATTTGTCTTCACTTTTGATGGCGGCGTGGACACCCGCAGCGGCTCCTCTTGTTTTGTGTTGAGAGGGAAGAAATTTCATCTGTGCTATATGGTACAGCACATTCGACAATAAAGTTGTATTCAACATACTCAACCAACTGGCTATAGCGCCCCGGGGCTGTCCAGCAACGACAGTCAAACGGTGCCGACATTCCTCCCAATCAAAATCAGTGCTGGTACACGGGTGCTGCCGAGAAGGTGCAACCACCAATCACAGATTCTTCTTATTTGACCAATGTCATGGCCAAAAATGCTGAAAACAGTCCACATCAGGTCCACACGACGCAACAACAACACCACGTGACAAAACATAAGACAAAAACAAGAAAAAATGCAAGGCTCTTGAAGAACACTTGCCAACGGCTGCCTATTCGGGCGCCATCTTGGAAAAAAAAATTGAAACACACATTGAAAATGTGTGCAGCACTTGAGGCACAAAATATGTCAATAGAGACGCCAGACTGTTGGGGAAATAAAGTTAAGCTGTATATTCGGCAAGAGTGGGAAAGAATCCCACTACAAAGCTTCAACAATGAATGCCGTTAAAAGGAAAGGTGAATAACACATTGGTAAACATGCCAGTCCCCATTTACACTGTATTTCTGTTTTTATTTACGTTTTACACATTCCAACTTACACAATATAATTAAGGAAATCAAGTTAATAAGTCCTGCATTACAAAATACCATAAAAGCATTTGTTTCAAATAACAGTATACCGTTATAAAGCTTATTTCACAAGGAGAAAGTTTAAAAAAAATGTGAACTTACAACAGGCAAATACATGATAAAAAAATTAACAAACCTTTACAGTGCTGATCCATTGCATAAGAAATAGATCAACTGAATTTCGGTTTTATAGAGCCATCTTGCAAAGTCGAATAATGGCATATATATATGAATATATATTAATATGAATATAAACCAAAGATAAACATTGTTTTGAATTAAAGCTACTGAAAGGCACATGCAGTGAGTCTGGCTTGTTATTACAACAACAACATTCATGTCCAGTGCTGTTTTTATTTGTTTTTGGCTGCCAGTGGTTTGCGGCTGATCTTCTTGCTCTTGTCGTTGCTCTTCTTCGGAGGTTCTGGGTTGGCCTGCATGTGTCTGCCATAGAGACTGAGAAGAGTAAAATAAAATGTTGTTCAGGGGACGTTGAATAAATGTATATGTGTGGATATATATTTTTTCTTTCTCTGTATTCAACTACTGTGGTGTATCTGCCCATCCATCAAGTGTGAAATTAAACAACAGGCTAAATATTTATATAGAAATACAGGATCATCTGTCTTTCTGTTCGCGAAACATTCTGAAATCTCATAACATCCACACGGTTTCTCTGCCATGACATGACACGGCGACAGCAGGTTGCGCAAAAATCTGGCAGCGTCAAGTATAAGGCGCTTCGGAGTATATTTCAGGTGTGCCTTATAGTGCGGAATATCCTGTAGATATTTTTAGCATGGTAGTGAATATTTACGGCAAATGATTCAAAACAAAAGATTGGTTATATAAAATACACGGATCATATACATGTGTTTGTGTAACAGTGTGCTTATACATACTATTTGTAGGTCTCAGAGCGAACATATTCAAAAACATGCGAGACTCCCAATTGGAACTGGTCAGAAATGGGTGTGACCCAGGGATTGTTCTCCGCTTTGAAGACCTGCTTTGGACCAGTCAGATCCAGATTACCTAAAGATACATCAAAATATATTTTTTTAAGACTTGCTTTGTAATACACTTTTGCACTTTTTATGAGAGGCGGTTGCTGAAAAGTGGAAACAAATTTGCAGTCATCTCAAAACAGTCGAGCAGCACAGGGGTATGTTTACCGCTTGCGGACTGAATGCTGTTGATTGGTCATCTTCAAATAATTGATTCAAGATCACATGCGGAGCCACGGTGAATGTATAGACAAGTATAAAAAAAAATGCTAAAAATCAAGTCCTGGTTACACTTGATTCTCACTTCTCAGTGTCCGACCCTACTGATGAATTGTATCTTCATTTTTGCTAAATAGCATATTGTCTTGAGTAAAAGACTCGTCATATCAGAGTCTGGTCATTACCAAGTTCCGGTGGTAGTACAGTCAATCGATTGCCCTGGATGTGAAGCTCCTTGAGTTGGACCAACTCCCCAATATCCTTTGGCAGGGAGATGAGATCGTTGTCCCGCAAGCTCAACTGGGAACAGGGGAAAAATGGATTAATTTCTGATTCAAAATCATGACATACACAAATCATTGTACTGCACGCTCAAGCTGGCCTTGCGTCAAAGGTTCAGACAGGTGGAAGTGACATAACGGTGCCCAGACAACATGCCCGCCCCTCACTGTCAAACAGTTGTGCGCCAGTATGAGTACTCTAAAACTTTTTAAAACGCGAAACATATAAAATCCCCCTCCGTGAGCTGTCACCTTATCATAGTCGAGGGGTTTGTATGTCCCAACGATCCTCTGACCTAAGTTGTCTATGGCTTCGTGCCCCTGGCAGGGTCACCCATGACAAACAAGTCCGAGGTGAGGAACCAGACGAGGCATGGCTCAATTGATTAACAACATACGACTTTGGCTCCAGGACTAAATCCTCTTGAAGAGGGTTTAACTGGATACTACTCTAGAGTTGTCCATGGTGAGAGCCACTGAGGAGGTGTTGTCACCGGGCACAGACAAGTGGGGTTCAACACTGGGGTTCAACACAGTGGGCTGAGGGTAGCCTTCCTCCGCTTTCCGGTGAGGCAATGAGTCATGACTCTTGTTTGTAAATTTAGAGTCGTAAATTGATATACACAATCAAAATGTGGATGCGCCTGAAAGGGGGGGGGGAATAAAAATCCTTAAAGATTAGGAGGAGTGTCTTTTTTTTTTTCAGCACCATAAATTAGTACAGTGGTACCTCTACATACGAACGTCTCTTCGTATGAAATTTTCAAATTACGAAACGCCTCAACAGGAAAATATTGCCTCTTATTACAAAAATAAAAAATCACGAAAGGTAAAAATACAGTGTGGGCTGCTACTCGCAGATCCGAGTTTCCTGAATGCAACATACTTATAACTGCTCTGCCACTGGCTATTACCGAGCATCATCACCATTGGCTCGGTGAATTGTACACGAAACAAACTCTGAATGAGAATAATGGTAACGATAAAAGATATAGTGCAACAGCTCTGATCACAAGCTGCAATTGCAGACTGCTGAGCGCTAACAACTTCCAGTCACGCAGGTCACGTGCCACCGTAGGTTAAAGATTTACCTGCTTTATTTTATTTTATTGTTTTTAATACCTTTTGTGAAAATGAGACTGATTGGATGATTAGGGTGCAGTGTACATTAACACAAAAAATATATGACTAAAATGCACAAAGACACACAAATGGTTGTTATTTTTTTTTTCTCCTCTATACCCCTCGCGATCGACTTGGGACCAGTCCGCGATCTACCGGTCGATCGAATCGACGTAATGGGCACCCCTGCCTTAAGGCAGTGTTTTTCAAACCCTGTGCCGCGGCACACCAGTGAGATATTGTCAAGTGTTCCGTGGGAAATTATCCAACATGTATGCCTGTGCGGTCTATCGCCTGGCAGAGTGATCATGTAGTACCTTTCCATACCAGTAGGTAGCAGCAGCAGCATTTAGCTAATTGCCTTATGCTTCAAAACAAGCGAAGTTTCCGGCGCGAGGCAATACAACAAAGGGTATCTTTCATTTAGATTTACCGGAGATGCAACGGCACGACTCCGTTATGCTTGGTATGTGGTGAAACAGAGCTATGGTCCCAAGTAAGCTTAAACTCCGTCTCCAAACAAAACACCCTTCCCTTCGAAACAACAATGTGGAGTATTTTGTTCGCCTGCGTGAACACACGGAGAAACAAGCAACGTGCATGAGAAAAACCGCAAAGGTAAACGAGAGAGCCTTGGAAGTAAGTGGCTAAATCAAAAAAATGGCAGAGCAATTCATACTTTCCGCCTGCAAAGCCATTGTAAATGACATGTTCGGACCCGAAGTGGCTAAAGAAATAGCCTGACTGCTGTAAAAACTAAAAACATAGAAAGACTGAGAGCTGTGGAGAAGAGCTTCGTGTGTCTTTCATCGATTGCTGCCAGGATATCAGATCTATGTTCATCCAAACCATTTATCACACTGCGTGAGAATAAAGATGAAAGATTATAAAATATTGGATTGATCTTGATTTGACTCCTATTTAAGGTGTTATAATATAGCGTTATTATTCAATGTTAAAAAAACCCACTTATACTAACAATATACTACTTAATTGTTAAAATGAGCTTTTTTCACATTTTTAGCTAGTGGTGTGCCGCGGGATTTTTTTCAATGAAAGAAATGTGCCTTGGCTCGAAAAAGATTGAAAAACACTGCCTTAAGAAATTCAAGAGGAAAGATAATGATGGTTATATAGAGCAGCTGCTTGCTGGTGTCATATGCCGTGATTTACTTTTGATCTGATGAGTCAAATAAATCATCGCAACAACTTTTGGTGGTTAGCCGACTAGCCAAGCCATCGTTTGTGGCGGCCTTTAAATATTATAAAACAATCTGGGGGGCAGTGCCCTCCCCTGGGGGTGCACTGTTCCCCAGTGTCGGTCCCAAGCCCGGAGAAATGGGGAGGGTTGCGTCAGGAATGGCATCCGGCGTAAATCTTTTGCCAAGACGACCATGCGAGTTGGTAGGACGGTTTACAGGGGCGGATGGAAATTACTGACTCGCTGTGGCGACCCCTGAATAGGGACGTGCCGAAAGGAGAAGAAGAAGAAGAAGATTGAATGTAAAATTGGTAAGCGACGACCTGCATCTCGCTTTGCAATCAGAAATGCCTTTTTTGTTTTCAAAGATCATTTGATCTGACATTTATGATTTATGAGAACATTTTTAATTGGTCGCTACATTTGCCACATTGCAACACTGTTCACCTGTGATTTATGTAAATCGCAGTAAAAGTAGTTACCACCAATTGGCGACTCATTAAGCGTAGTTTTACAAACCCACAAATTCCCAGGCTGTTCAATGGTGTCACTCAATAAGCGAAAGTTTCACAGCATTGATTTTGCCATTTAACTTACTATTTGCAGCTTGGTCATCTTTCCAATGTCAGCCGGCAGGACTTCAAAGTCATTGTCACTCAGATATAGAGCGCGAAGAGTTGCTGCAATACAAGCATCACCGTTAATTGTCAAGTACAACTTTATTGAAGTGAGGGGGATTGCCAAAAATACAGTGGGAGGTCTTAAAATAAAATCCAATGAAAAAAAATGTCTACTGTTTATTTCAAGTTAAGTTTAATGTATGTTTATTTACAGGAAAGCCATGATTATTGTATCAAAATAACCATATCGAAATATCATATAGAAATCGCCTTTAACGTATCCAAGCGTATCGTTAAAAAAAAAAAAAAAAAAATTGCAATATATCCCTTTGTGTTGAAATGTTGGGCCTTACATGGATACATATTGTATTGGTCAAAAAACATATCATTACACCCCAAAAAAATACGGTGTCTCCTCGTGACATATGTTTGTGTTTGCGTGTGTATTCACTCACTGAGATAGAAGAAGTTTCCAGGCAGCGAATTTTGACTCAGGTTATTATAGGTGAGGTCCAAAACTTCAAGTGCTGGCAAAGAACCAAACCCTCTGGGTAAGTTGTAAAGGCGGTTCATTCTGTGCACAAAATTCAAACATTTTTTTTTTTTTTTT